TCGTCCAACAGAGCTGTTCTGTTATGTCAGTTTGTAGGCTAAGTTGCCATGTGTTTTGCACTTTATGAGTAAAATAAGTTCTAGGTATCTAAATTTGAAGAGCATGTCATGCATTGTTGTTCAACATAAATTACAACATACATTTTTAAGCTGTTGCTTACTACTCATTAAAGCCATTAATCAGCTCATACCTGGAGAAGGAAATCAAATAGAACACAAGGGCCGATGGTGTTCATTAAACCCATGTAGTAGCTGACAAGGGCCTGGCGGCAACCTCGGTTATACAGGTTCAGCTCTTCAGTCTGGTACTCGTAGTTGTAATGGGCAGAGTTGTCCAGGAGACTGTACTGGATGCAGGGCCGGGGGGAGGCAGGGTTACAGCAGCTGAATGGGACCCCATCCAACAGATATCGGCCGTCTACGTTACTCCTCACACGACTGTGTTGGCAAAATGGAATGGACAGAAACATAAGACTATATATAATGCAGTTATGAGAATAATATTCCTAGTTTTGTTACACCATTGATTCTGCAACTGTCTGTATTGACGTTCTGATCAATGCATCATGCTCATTTGGTGATGACATCCTGTTTCAGAACATGACATTTAAAATTTTGCTTCACCTGGAAATCTCCAAAAGAAAGCATTTTGGAATGTTTTACTTATTTTAAAAACTTGCAGTGTGTTGACTAACCACTGAGACCTTTGATTCATTCCCTTATGGAAAAAAAACCCACTGGCCTTCATTCAGGAGAGAGTGCAGGAGTGTGAGTTTATCTATGATTTTTGGACTCACTCTTTCACTTCTTTGGATGTGAAGTCCAGGTAGCGGCTGCTGATCCACTGCACCTCAAACCAGTCCCTGTAGTTAGTATTACCACAGCACTGGAACTCAATCTGTAAACGATCAATAGTCTCCTTCTGGAAACAACGGCCTGGTGTGTCTGTATCCTGCAGAGATATGGAACATCAGATACCTACTTAAAAGTTCATTAAGAGAAATATGTATGACTTGAAATCCTTTCAAATCTTTTTATTTATTATTATTTTTATTTTTTTTTACTTTAGTGCATTATGCTGTCCTGCCTTTGGAAATATTTGTTTGAGTTAAGTATTGTCTAGAATACAAATGTCATATAACAGGACTCTGAAATGCAGGATTTATTTATTCATTCATTCATTCATCCATTTTAAATATATAT